TTTAATTTATATTTCTAGTTATTAATTAGTGCATTAGTAGATTAATTTGGAATTTATGAATGTGTATTTGATATTTATGTAAATTTTCATTCCATTTTTCGTGAGGCATTTTTCTTAGCAACTATTTCTTGGAAGATTATACACTAGGATCTTGACAATTATATACTATCTTCTTCCTCTTAAAATCCTGAAATTCATTTTTAACTATTTCTTTTGTGGTGGACTTATCATATGCTCAAGCTATATTGCTAAGCTAAGCGTATATACGTGTTCAAGCATCCCATTCTTCTTTATTAATTGGTTCGATATATCATTATTGAACCAATTACACTGCTAATAGTTCTTAATCGGATAGAAAAATTCTTGAAATATTGAGATTTTTCTTTTATGTTTTCATATTAACTATAAAAAATTAATTATTATGATACTAAATGCAGGTGCATAAATTCTTGTTATGAGCATCGAGATTGATCCAACAATATTTGAATAGCTTTTAGCTTGTCCAATTCCAATATTTTTCTTGATAAGCAAGTAACTTCAGACAGAGAAGTTTTGAGCAACAAAATTTAAATTTTTTTCTCAGAATTTATGGATACAATCCATTGAAGATGAAATTTAAATTTTGTCATTTATTCTATACAACGTAGACTCCAATCCAGGTGCACTAATCTTCCCTGAATCATTCCAATTTTATATTTTCCGACTGAAGGGACAAAAATGAAGTCCTCAATGTATATTTATTTTGAAAAGGAAACAAGAGTATCATGTCCTATTTGTCATAATTAAAAAGATTTTTAGTTGATTTTGATAAAAGTCGATGAAATGTATGGTTAAATAGTTGTGAATCCCGTAAACTGTGGTTATAAATAATTGTTGACTTTTACCTAAATTTTATTTCAATTTTAATTCAGACCAAACATGGCCTATATAATATATGCCACGTACAACTTTCCACACAACCCGTTTAATGCAGCCCAATATATCATCTCCAAGCCCAAACTATTTCCAGCCAATATTGTGGCTTGTTCATTCAAGAGGAAATTACACCAAACCATGTCTTTTCTTTTACATTTTAAAAATTCAGGTTTTTAAATTTTTTATTCAATTATCAGGTTTTTATAATTTTAATTAATAATGATTTTATAAAATTAAAATAACATATATACCCACCCCACTATCTACCCCCACCCACTTTATTTTAAATATAACATCCTATCCAAAACCTAATCCATTTCAAATCTCCTCCCTCTCTCACCCGCGCCGCCACCGCCCCCCGCCGCCGCCACCTCCTCCAGCCGCCTCCACCATCCTCTCCTCTCCTCCTTTCTTCCCCTCCTCCCCCTCCCTTTCTTCCCCGCGTCGACGCTGCTGCACTTTTTTTTATTGATTTTTTATTTTTTATTTTTTGCGTGGTGATGGTACTCTGGTGGAGGTTGAGGTACAAATGTGTGGTGTTGATGCATGGGGCGGATTAGGGTCGGCGGTGTATGAGACGAAGGGTCTGTTACCAACTATTTTGGGTGTCTGTGACCTAGCTACTGTACTCTGGTGGTTTTTTT